TTACTTTCCATAAACAACTTTTTCATTTGTTATATCTTAGAGACACATTTTATCACAATCCAGAAAATCAAGAAAGCCCCTCACAAAAAATGCAATTATTTGATTTTAAAATAAGAAAAGAATAAAAAAATTATTAGAGTTGACTATCCATTGTTCTTTCCACTCCAAAATCATAAATTACTGAAAATTTTGAACTTAATTTTACTGGCTTGACAAAAAGAGAAATCATAAAACTGTCACATTTAAAGTTTCACCTTTGGGGCCAGATAAAAGGTTAATAAAGGCCAGATTTGGCCCATGGGCCTTGACTTGAATATGTGTCCTTAAAAAGTAATTTTTTTTTGAAGATCTATACTTCCACTTCACTGACTGAGTGCAGTTAAATTAGCAGACAGAACATGGTTTGAAAATCCAGTCAGGTTGTTCTTGAATGAAAAACCAGCAAATTCACTTCAGTGGTGCAAGAAAATGTTCTGAATGCAAAGAAATATCAGCATCTGCTCCAAGTTACCTGTGAGGTTCCCACTCTGGAGACACGTCTTTCAGAGTGAGAGCAGCAAGATTGCTTTGGCACAACCCAATAAATACCAGACAACTGTGTGAATACAAATCAGCAGTTACATAACAGCCAGTGTCGGACACAGTGGCTGTTCTGTGCAGCTTTCAGGGAGGCCAAATGGACCTGAGCACACAGACACACACTATCTGCACATAGATGCACACAAATCTGCATGCATGCTTGTACAACTCTTATTCTGAAAAGGTTTGGCTGCTGTGTAAAATGTAATAAAAGCAGAATGCAATCATTTGCTCAAAACAAATGAGGCTCAGATTGTTAAATTGGCATCTTACTGGTAATTTCACCATTATGGCCTTTCATTAATAAATCATTGTTTCCAGACTGATGAATGCCATGCCCACGTTTAAGCCTTTTATGTAATCACATTAAAATGGACCTGGGTCAGACGGGAAAGGTGAAATACTTTGCCAGTAAGAAAATAAAGTCAGACTAGAAAACCCAACTTTGTACTTTTTATGGCAAATACAAATTTAAGGGAAAAAAAAAACAAAAAGAAAAAAATTGTCTAGGTCTTCTGGACGGGTTCTTCTCTAATGAAACGTTTCGTCTCTCCTCCAAGAGACTTCTTCAGTCTGAGAGTTTCAGGCAAAATTCTGGCTTTTAAGCCCTGCCTCCATGTGACTGACACTCACATCACATGGCTATCGTTGACACCWAATTAACACTTATTGTTAACAGGGGGTGGAGTGATACTGGCAATAGCCGCGCTGTAGGAGGGGGACAACTGAAAACGGAGGCCCTGGAGCAGTGTGGTTATCCTGACTGGGCTTTCCTGAAAGCAGACAGGAAACACAGACAGGACTCCATGCAACCTTCAGGTGAAAATGAAGACCCCAAACCCAGACCCAAACCAGTGGTTATTCCGTATGTTGCGGGTGTTTCGGAGAAACTGAGATGTTTATTTTCTAAACATGATGTCCCAGTGGCTTTCAAACCCCAAAACACATTACGGCAAAGGCTGGTTCACCCCAAAGATCCGGTGCCCCGGCACGAACAGAGCAATGTTGTATATGCTGTTAAGTGCCAGGAGGACTGCGACCAGTTATACATCGGGGAAACAAAGCAGCCACTGTTCAAAAGAATGTCCCAACACAGACGAGCTACATCTAATGGCCAGAACTCTGCAGTTTTCACTCATTTACAGGCCAGCGGTCACTCTTTCAGAGATGAGGATGTTCTCATTCTTGATAGAGAGGAACGTTGGTTTGAGAGAGGAGTAAAAGAAGCCATTTTTGTGAAGAAAGACCGTCCGTCATTAAACAGAGGTGGAGGCCTCCGTTTTCAGTTGTCCCCCTCCTACAGCGCGGCTATTGAAAGCATCACTCCACCCCCTGTTAACAATAGGTGTTAATTAGGTGTCAACGATAGCCATGTGATGTGAGTATCAGTCACATGGAGGCAGGGCTTAAAAGCCTGAATTTTGCCTGAAACTCTCAGACTGAAGAAGTCTCTTGGAGGAGAGACGAAACGTTTCATTAGAGAAGAACCCGTCCAGAAGACCTATACAATTTTTTTCTTTTTGATTTTTCACCTGGATTACTGAGCTGCATCAGGACAAATTTAAGGGGAAATTCTGCAACCATCAGAGTTGAGTAACAGAAGGTTGAAGCCACAAGACATTAAGCTCTAATGTTGGTGTTAATTTACATGTAGCAAGACTTTAAAAACTCTTTCAGAAAAGATACTCAAGATGAAATGACAATTTTTTTTCCTCACTAAGTGCAAATAAATGATTCATACTTATTTTCTACAACAAAGGGTAGACTAGTAATCATCATCCACTACATCAGCAAATTAATTATTTTCGTTATTGTTCCTCATTTGTATTATCAGGAAGCAGAAAAACCAGATTTAAAGTGAGTCTTTTCTGCGGGATTGCATCAGCACCAATGGAAACATAGCCATGTGTGTGGCAGTGCTGCCTTCAAATACTGTCGGAATTTTATAGCCATTGTGGTCTATGTTGGCTGACGTACTAAAACAGTTATGTAGCATAACATTTTTTGTGTTAGTAATTCAGTTTTGTGTTAGTAATTCAGCAGATGTACACGTCAGAACTCATGCTGAGAAATTTTTTAAAAGTCTGTCGTTTTCATTTTATTAAGGCTGATTTATGTACATGTTAACTGAATCAAATAATACTGGTTGGTGAGAATACTTTTTAAAGTGACAACAGTTGTGTATTTAAGTTAAACATTATACATTCCTTGTCTTGTGACTATTTTGTCATGAATTATACCCAAATACAACCTGTCACTGTCTGGTTCTGCATTTTAACGGCGGTCCCTGAAYGCAACATCCGAGGAAACAAGAGCGCAGAGCAACGCCTGCGCATCGACCAATCAGAGCGTCTGCTACGTGTGACGTAAGAACAGGCGGATGGGGTGTTTAGAAAGCCGGTTTCTCCATCAGGAAGCCCGAACAAACGCCGCTAGTCTCAACAAAACAAAGATCAACCTGCTGTAGACTCCATCATACTTCATCATGTCTGACATTAACTCTGGGTAAGTGGTCTAACTCTTGTTTAATTTGCGATTGAAGACAATTAACTCGTTTTTTTCTTTTAAGAAAACCTAGCTTAACTTAGCTTATTTACCTCGTTAAATTAAACCAGTTTGGCTAACACGTTACAACTCATGCTATAACAGTCTGAGTTGGCACCTGCGGTTGAAACTTGGGTTTTCTCAACGTTTTCTGTGATGGAGGAGCTGTCCCGGCTTTTCTGTTACACGATGGGTGTTCGGTTAAAACTTATATTAAAACCATCAGGASCGCGCTACGTCTGCCACGTTGGAAAGTGGGGACGAAGAGAGGAAGAAAAACCCGTCCTCTTTTGTTTCCCCCTTTCCCTACACGTGGTCATCATCGCCGGCTCAAACCCGGACCTGTCAGACATTTACCCACATGTGGCACGAACCAGTCATTGAACTGGCAGAACCGCCACCCTGTGAGGAAATGACTGTTTCCGTAAACCTTTGTGAAATTATTACTCAGTGGTTGTGACTGAGCTCACGTAGCACCTGTTACAAAAAAAATAGTGTAGAAGAAAAGGGGACAAAATCAACAAGAACAGGAAAAGTCATCAAGTAAAACTCATCTGAATGAGTTATTTCTGTCTAATAGTTTAAATACAAGACATAACTCATTTTATTTAAAAAGTAAAAACCTCATTTACTGTATTAAATAACATCTTTAAGATATTCTATGAAATATTTAGCAGCTACTGCACTGTTTTTATTGTGTTGTAGATATCAAAGCTGTTCATACCAGAGACATTAATGCACCCCAATACCATCAGAGAGGCAGCTTTTGAACTGTGCAGCGATTATAGACTGGAAATTGTATCTCCTCTTTATTAAGGAGGATGCTACCAAAAATGGTAACGTCACAACTTTTTTTAGAAATCACTTTAAGGATGCTCATTAATCTAGTCKGCATTTTTACTCATAAGATGATGGGTCACACGCTTCAGACCTAACATCCAGGTTAGCTAATTATTAGAAGATGAGAAAACTGAGTGGAAACACAGGGCAACAAAACAGAAAAAATGTATTTTTAACTAACAAAAATAAAGTAATCTTTCAATTAAAAATTAAAAAATTTTGATGCAGGGGGTGTTACGTTGCAGTTATGAAAAAAAAGGTTAGTTTTTAGCTTTTTACACTTGCTAACTATGCTACATTAAGGTTATATAAACCATATTTTTAAAAATACAATTAAACAATCAGTGTCCTCAAGACTGTTTTAAAATGTTAATGTAATAAAGTCTAGCTCCTACAAAAGGAACTATAAAAATATAACTTTTTAAATGTTCCTTATGTCTGCCACTGGACCATCGTAAGAGCAAATAGATATAAATAATAACAGAACAGACATGTTTGCTGTAAAACACAGTCATAAGTAGCCAAACAAAAAACTCTAGGGGAAAAACCAGCATGTTGAATATGTGTAAGAACAAATTAATAAGCTCCTCTGTATTAAAAGCTTATAATTAAATGCATTTTCAGCCCACTTTTGTTAATGTCCTGTTAAAATCAGATTTATGGGTTTGGGAAACTGRGATTATCCCTCAGGGACTCGCATGTCGTCATCCTGCAGCTGTGACAACTTTTGTTTGATTATTCTTGGATTAAAAAAAATAAAGTCTGTTTTGTTCCACAGAGGCACAATGTAGAACCGCCGTACATCAACATGAAACTCAAGTCCACACGTTTTAGTCGCCCAGTGTTGCTAAAAWGTTGTAATTTCACTTGTCACAGTCAAGCAAAACAGCCATGTTGTGTTTGGCTCCATCCTCAGTCAGTGTTTGCACAATAACATCAGTCAAGTCTTTTATTTCATGACAGAACAGGACAGAACGTGTCTGYGATGTTCTTACGTGTTCACGCAGTATCAGTAAAAGGCAGAAAAATCATCCACTTCCATCTGAACAGGACGCTCCGAATCTTTGATTATAACTGCTTGTGTTGCTTCCTGTCAGTCRGAGGGAGAAGTAGAGCATGACTCGGCGTGTTTCCTGTAAAACAAGACAGAGAAAGAATTTGGYCTCAGTTTAGAGATGAAATAAAACAATGTAGGTCAGATTGTTTTGGGAGATGGTCTCGGATTCTCAAACATGGCTGCTGAGAGCTGGCGCGACGTATCTGTGTTTCTCATCTTTGCTTYGCTCTTTCTCAGGGGAAACTATGAGGAATGCAGAAACACAGCTGATTGGCTGCTGAACCACACTCAGGTGCGACCAACTGTGGGAATCGTGTGCGGGTCAGGCCTGGGGGGGCTGGCTGGCATGCTGAAGGACCCGCAGGTCTTTAAATACAGCGACATTCCCAACTTTCCCCGCAGCACAGGTACGCACCGCCTGAGGAAGCAGCTGTTAATGTTTAAACTGTAAAAAAAAAGGCACCACATGTCTAACATCAGGTGTTTTTACAGTGCACGGTCATGCAGGCCAGCTGGTGTTTGGGACACTCAAAGGGAAGCCATGTGTCTGCATGCAGGGCAGGTTCCACCTGTATGAAGGTTATCCCATCCAAAAGGTAAATAAACCTGTCAGCTGTTGGTTTACTGAAACATTAACACAGAGACAGTAAAGTTCCTGTGACGTGCATATCCTTCAAACACACACAGTCAAAGAAAACATCTTTATACTTAAGAAACTTAACATAAAACACATGATTTTTACCCATTTTGCCACATAACTGGGATATTTTCTTTTGCATTCGGTTCAGCCAAAGTGAAACAGGAAGTGACATCAAAGGGGAACTCTGGTCTTTGATTATTGAAACAGTAATATTTGAACTCTGGCTCGTCATCACCGCTACAACAGTGACTCTAAATAATCTAAAGAAACATCAGATTCTTTACAGTCTGAGTTGTCGGCCATTGTTGCAACGCTCTGTTTACATTCAGACATTCCCCTTTGACATCACTTCCTGTTACTTTACATGCAAATATCTCAACAACTGTTCATCTCAGCAGCGTGAAACAATTTTTGCACTTCATAATTTAATGTTATCGTTCCAAAAATGCATTAAAATTTATTTACTGAAAATTGATACCACAGGCACTTTAAGATTTTTTTTAAACAAAGACATGTTGGAGTGGGGCTGCCCCTCGAAGTTCAGACACACCCACTTCTGTAAATAGTTTCTGCAATAGTAGCTGTCACCAGGATCATGTTTACCCATGGCGACACTCACCTGCACAGGTGAAACCGTCTCAGTTGTGAGCAGTACACACAGTCACGTACAGCTGACTGAATAAAGACATCATGAACTGAGATAACTTGTGGTCTGAACACCTCCCTGCCCCGCAGGAGAACTGAGAGGCATTGTTATTTGTTCTGCTGAAGGAACAGAAAAATAAACCTGATCGTCACATCAAGCACTTGTTTTAAGGCTGCAGAAAAAGTAACCAGCTGAGAGACGACGTGAGAAAACTGAAGCTCCAAAAGCTTCACTAAATCCTTTTGTTTTCACAACTTATCTAAGGATCCTGAAAGATTTATCAGCAATAAACTTAAAACAGTTCTTATCTCTGCCTAGCTTGAAGGTTAGAAAATATTTTGTTTTGAGTGTGTTATTATACTCGATGTATTATTTGCCAGCTGAGACTTATTAGGTCAAAGAATCTACAGAAATTACCAACATTCCTGTCGCCTTCTATTGTTTTTGTTCACTGTGTAACTGCAGTGCACTGCAAAAAATATCCACCTAACCAAGTTTTAAAATCTTACATGCAGCCAAAAAGTCTTTTTGATCTTGTTTTGAGACTGATTTACTAAACAAGAACTGATTGTTTAAGAATAATAATCTTGTTTTCAGAATGTGTAAGATTATTTGTCTTGTTAGTCTGAAAATTTGACTCCAATTAAGTCAAACATTTCTGC